TATTTAATGTATTGTGCCCAAAATGTAATGACCTTTTTTTTTCTTCTATTTTTTAAAGATATATGAAAACATTTTAACATGGCTGCTACTTGCACATTCAGTTGATCAGCAGTTTCTAGCCATGCAGCTTTTCTCTCGGGTGTTATGACCGCTGTACCTTTTATGGTTATTAGTAAAACATTAAAACATTATTACAATCTAAAATTGCTCATTAAAGCATTTAAAACACTAAATTAAAAGTTAAAACCACTGAATTAAAAATGAAAGTAAATAATAGAAATCGGACTACATTTTAACTGATAAGAGGAACACACATTTAACTCATTTGAGATAGTAGGGCTGTATTAGCCAGCTTACATTTGATTTACAGTTACTGCTATCATAAAAATACACTTATATGTAGGATTAAAATTCTACGTGTCACATTTAATGTCGCACAACAAATATTTTATTCAGAATTATTGCGCTATTATTCTATTGCGTTCCATCTGTTTAGCGCGCAGCAGCGCTCGTTAGCTCCGTAAGCCACTCCTGACAGCAAAATGGATATATTTGCATGACTTTTTAACATTTACAGATGAAGAATATACCTGTGATATGTCAGTTATACACTGAGGACAACACAATGTCTCAAATGCGTTAAACAGCACAAATATATTTGCTGTTTGCCATGTGCGCATCAAATTATGTTGACTCATTGAACCTGGATCGAATTAGTGAGATTGCGTGAACTTAAATTGTCGTTTATGAAACCGCTTTAGTGCCGATTGATTTGTTAGGTTCTATCAAGTCAGGTTTTGGACTTTAATCCCCGCTTTGCTTAGCGTCTTTTGTGAAACAGGCCTCTGCTGTTAAAAACTAAATGCTGCAAGAACAACAAACAACTTTTACAAACCAGCTGCAAATAAAATCATTAAAGTATAATCTAATAAATGTAATCTATAGATCATTCAGTACCTGAACGAATGCATATGAAGTCTGTTTTTCTTTGTTTTTTTTGATAATCAGCTCATTTACGGCTATTAACTCTCACTCTGACTGATTCTCTTAGCAGTGCGCTGACTGCTGAACTAGGGAGCTGATTTGATTTGAGATTTTTTTTCTGTTCATTCACATTATTATAGAGATGGCGTTTATTAAAGAGGAGAGTGAAGACGTGAAGATTGAAGAAGTATTCAGAGTGAAACAAGAAGATACTGAGGAACACACAGGTTGGTTTTCAATTTGGTCATTTGGTTCATATTAAAATGTCAGTCTCTACAGAAATAAATGGTATTTTTGAAGAATGTCATGAGTTTCCTAATTTAAGTGCTTTTTGTTTGACATTAAGTCTTCATGTTGAGATCACATGACCAGATAAATACTATTTAATTTGTTTAGCATTCAAGAATGGACCCTACTAATCCGATCGTAATAGGACTAGAAGCACAATCAGAATAAAAAAACGTCACATGTAAACACGTCAATCGGATTGAATCCGGCCAGATCCGACTAAAATTTCGATCGGATTGTAAGGGGTGGTTTATTCCTTTTGTAATCCGAGCGAGAGGACATGTAAACACTGGAAAGTACTGCGCATGCGCAGTGACGTAGAAGTAGCGTAATGACGTATGACGCGAGGAACGAGCTGTTCTTCCTGGTGAATAAAGTGTCATAAATGAGTTTCCAGTCATTATAAAACTCCCCTTTCACTCAGCGTCTGTGAAGTGGAGCAGGACAACGTCCCACCATTCCTTGTTTCAACCCGATCACTTTATTTAGCGTTCATGTAAACACTACGTTCGCATTTGTCAATCAATGAATTCATTCCGATGGAAGCAAAAAGTGTCCATGTAAACGCACCTAGTGACTAGTTCATCCAGCAGATCGCTGGTTAATGTTTTTTTGTTTTCACCATAGTTTGCGACAGTCAGAAAAGTGATGAGTCATCTGTCAGTTTTTACCTACACTCGTGTGAGTTTCGTACGAGTTAGTTAAAACTACAAAACGACATTGTGACTGAGTGATGTATTAGTGAAGTTATCTTCTGCACACAAAGAAGAAAAGCCCTGCATGAACACAGCGTAATGAAGCAAGTGTTTTTTCCTGATGGATCTAATATCTATAAGATGAATTTCTGATTGCGAGGTTGCAAACGTTTGTTCTTTTTCTATGCACGTTTCTTAAAAATGCACTCAACACGAACACGCAAGTTTGCATCCGGGATAGTTTAAAAGAATTCGGGTCTTCGAGTCCATTTGGAAAAAGCACATTTATTTTAAAGTGCCTGAGACCTGAGGCTGCTAATACCGAACCCGACCCTTGTCCGAGGCACTCGTAGAAGTTTTGGACCCGAACCCGCTCGGGTTGGACCTCGGGTTTTCGGATCTGATTTTTTTTAACCATCCGTTTACACGTTTTTTCAATTGTGACCCATATCAAATTCATCTGTTTACACTTGCCATAGCTCCACTTTTCCTGCGTTGTTGTCATTTCTACTACCTCCCAGGGTTGCTAGGATTTCACAACAAAACCCGCTCAATTTCTACTCAACTAGCCCAGTCGTGTTTCGAGGGGGGTCCCCTGGGAAAAAAAAATCACGTTCCGGGGGGGGTAAAATGCAAATTTTTTGGCACGGTTCCCCAGTACAATTTGCATTCCAGGGCCTAAATATCTCGTTATAGGGGTCGCTTCAACCTGCGGACATGAAAAACAACCTGTGGCAACAGTGTTAATGTTCACTGTAAAATTACTGTAAAAATTTGTAAATTGTCATTGGTCATTTTATATTTTCTCTTTTAATTTTCTTTTGTTAAATACTGAAATCTCTTAAAGTAACAATTACAATAAGTTTATTACCGATTAAGAGAAAATATCTATATAACTAGAGTAAAAGTTTAAACTGAAAAACATATTGTTGATATGTTGATTCATATTAGCTATGTTTCCATCACACTATTTTAATGCGCATTTTGAAGTATCGCATGAGAAACGAGTGATGGAAACGGCAAATTTCGAATAAAAATCCCTTAATTCGCAAAAAAGTTTTTACGCTCTCTTGAGGTGGTTTTTGACTTGTGCGAAAAAGGGTTGATGCGATTATTGGGAAATGGAAATGCATTTTGCGAATAAATTCCTCCAAGCGAATAAAAAAAAGACATGTGACTTTGCGCTATGGGACGGCAGGGTGTCCGCGGGTCCTTAAAAAGTCTTAAAATGTCTTAAATTCGGATTCGATGGGTCTTAAATATTTTTGGTCTCATTACCGCTGAAATATCTTAAGTCTGACGGACCTAATGACTGTTTACAATCATTGGACAGACCGAAGATGTTTTCTTCCCCGCGGTAAATTACTGTGTCATCAGAGAGAATTGCAGTAAGTTAGCAGAATACAGAATACAAGCTCGCGCTGAAGCTCACTCTGTTTGTCTCGAGACTTCAGAACAAATGAGCGTGACAGCACACATAAACTCAGAAGAATAATTTATTATATATGAAAATTACTATATTCTCCTACTTTTCTTAGTGATTTATAGTGCCAGTTTATCCGGAAGTAACGATTTTGTTCTCTTTGACTTGTTGGATGGATGCTTGTTCGCAAATGTTTTAATGCGATATTCCAGTTTTGCGCATAAGTTAAATTCGTAACTTTGGATGGAAACCCGGCTATTGACATATAAGGGCATTTTACAGTTAACTTTGTTATTTTCAAATCAGTGGGTGTAGGAGAGTTTACTAGTTTTATTTAGTTGAGAGACTATCCTATTCGAACCCGAGTGCCCACCCTAAGTGTTCAGGTAAGCCACCCTGAGAGGGAAGAGGGTGCTAGTACTAGGGTTGCCCTCAACTAAAGATTTTTCTGGTTGACTAGTAGTCGTTCATTTGAAGAATTAGTCGACTAATCGCATGTTTATAATGGTTAATAAACCATTTAAATCATAATAATGAGCCTTTATTGCCTACATTGCCTAATAAGCACTCAAGCACACGCATAAAGCTTGCTACAGCGCACCGGCAGAAGTAATGATTATGAATGTGTCCGAGAAAAACAGTAAGGAGGCTGCATTAACATTTTAATAATTCATTGATAAACTAGTGCTTTCTTTGTTTTCGGCTTAAGAGATGAAGTCGGCAACACTGACTCGTCATCTCCGCAGTAGTGGATGCTCCTGTATGCATGTTTCATACGGATTACTTAATCTGAGAATATTTATCTTCTATTTGAATTGGTTCATTTGAGAGTGACCTTTCACTCTCTATAGATGTTTTTTTATGTCTGGCAAACATAGGCAAGGCAAACATACATAGAGTTTTGGAGTTTCGCGGTCAAGTTCACAGAGACCGAGACAGCAGAAAGCGCACCATTTTCATTATTTTACAAAAGCGCAATATTTTATTGTTATTGTGAGTGCACACAAATAAAGTAGGGTCTTTACAGATTTGAAAGATGTATTACTCTTATCTGTATGACTAAAAATTACGGAGTATTTTAAGATCAAGTGACCGCACCAGCGCCTCCATCTGTCCTGCAGTGAGCGCTACTGAGCTTGGATTTTGCTGTGCTGGAAAATAAACCAGCTCTCCTTTGGTCAAGCTCTGTTTCGCAAAGCATTTGATAACTACCAGGTTGAAAGTTTGAAAGCAAAGAGTTTCTGAGATTACAGAAAACACTTTTTTTTAAAGTAGATTTTGATGCCTTCTCTTGGTTTTGTTGTCTGTTTCTTTGTGTCATTAAACTGGTTTTGTATTTGTGTTTTTTCACTTTAGACCTGATTGAGGAGAGTCAAGAGCTGAAGGATATGGAAGAGAAAGAGCAGAATGAGAACGATCGTGATTTCAAAATTGGAGAAAAAGCCACACTGACTAAAAAGTGTTCCTCTCAAAAAAGTGTCCAGAAGATTGAATCGAAGAGCTTTTTTACCTGCCATCAGTGTGGAAAGAGTTTCAATCGAAAAGGAAGCCTTAAGGTCCACATGAGAATTCACAATAGAGACATCGCTTTCACCTGCAAACAGTGTGGAAAGTGTTGCACTACCAATGAAAGCCTTAAAATTCACATGAGATATCACACTGGAGAGAAGCCTTATAACTGCCAGCAGTGTGGAAAGAGTTTCGCTCAAAAAGGAAACCTTGCAGTCCACATGAGAAGTCACTCTGGAGAAAAGCCTTATACTTGCTCTCAGTGTGGACAGGGTTTTGCACATAAAGGCAACCTTAATTCCCACATGAGAACTCACAGTGAAGAGAGCTTGTTCCCCTGCCAACAGTGTGGAAAGAATTTCATTCACAAACATATCCTGGCAGTCCACATGAGGATTCACACTGGAGAGAGACATTTTATCTGTAAACAGTGTGGAAAGTCTTTCACTCAAAAAGGAAACCTTAAAATTCACATGAGAAGTCACTCTGGAGAAAAGCCTTATACTTGCTCTCAGTGTGGACAGGGTTTTGCACATAAAGGCAACCTTAATTCCCACATGAGAACTCACAGTGAAGACAGCTTGTTCACCTGCAAACAGTGTGGAAAGAATTTCCCTCAAAAGCAAAACCTGGCAATCCACATGAGGATTCACACTGGAGAGAGACATTTTATCTGTAAACAGTGTGGAAAGAGTTTCACTCAAAAAGGAAACCTTAAAATTCACATGAGAATTCACTCTGGAGAGAAGCCTTACACTTGCACTCAGTGCAGAAAGAGTTTTACTCATAAAAACACCTTTAATTACCACATGAGAAGTCACACGGGAGAGAAGCTGTTCACATGTGATCAGTGTGGAAAGAACTTTGTGACGGAACTAACCCGTAGATGCCACATGACCATTCACACCGGAGAGAAACAGTTCATATGTGTTCAGTGTGGAAAAAGTTTCGCACACAAAGTAGGCCTAAATTACCACATGAGAATTCACTCAGGAGAGAACTGTTTTATATGTCAGCTATGTGGAAAGAGTTTTTGTCATAAATATAGCCTAAAAACTCACATGAGAGTTCACACTGGAGAGAATTCCTTCACCTGTAAATCTGAGTGAACGTTCACTGCTGCGGAGTGTGGGCCAAATCTGATTGTCCACCTTCATACCCACTTCTTTTATTTCTTCTTAATCATCTTTTACTTTTTAGATATTGATAACTTGGGTTCAAAATATTAGTTAAACTTCTGTCATGCTGCGAAATGCCACAGTGTAATTGAATGATAATATAAATAATGATCAAACAAATAAAATGACAAACTGAATGAAATAAAGAATATTACACTGCATTTTATCTTACAAAGTTCTAATTATGATTCTGTTTATGAAATGCCAGTGAATTTACTATTGATTTCTCATCTTACAAAATTCTAATTCTAATTCTATGTTTATGAAATGCCAGTAAATTTACTATAAATTTCACATTCTACAAAGTTCTAATTATAATTCTACGTTTATGAAATGCCAGTGAATTTACTATAGATTTCACATTCTACAAAGTTCTAATTATAATTCTGTTTATGAAATGCCAGTGAATTTACTATAGATTTCACATTCTACAAAGTTCTAATTATAATTCTGTTTATGAAATGCCAGTGAATTTACTATAGATTTCACATTCTACAAAGTTCTAATTATAATTCTGTTTATGAAATGCCAGTGAATTTACTATAGATTTCACATTCTACAAAGTTCTAATTATAATTCTATGTTTATGAAATGCCAGTGAACTTTAAGTTATGTGCTATAGCGAGAGAGAGGGAGCTCTGTGCGTTCATGACAGCGAGCTGAAACACGGGCAATGACAGAATTTACTATAGGCTAGATTTCTATAAATTTCTCATTATAATGCTGTTTATGGCAGGTTTGTGCTATATTTTCATCTACATTATGAAGTGATTCCTGAAATCGCCTGTGCGTTTCCGAAGCCATATAAAGTATGAAAACAATTTTAATTGAAATATGCCTACTGTTGAACAAATATGATTGCATTATTATAACATAACATCATTAAAAAAGAAACATCTAAAAGTAATATGACCATCTCAAATAACTGTCAATATCGGGCATAGCATTTTAGCATAAAACTCAACACTGGTAATATGCAGCACATTCAGCATGTTAATAAATGTTAATATCCCAACGCATCCTATATTAGATTAATCAGATATGCATGTAGCTAACCCAGACATCACTACTTGACTTCGAAGCCATGCTTCTCTTTCTTCTCACGTCTATACTCTGGACTGAATGTAGGGTGTCGTCCAAAGTGCTGCTATAACCAATCAGAAAAAAAAATTTTTTTTCCATGATCATCGTTTTCATGATCGATCGTCGCTGTCACGGCCGAGTACTCGAGTACTCGATCGCTGTTGCACATCCCTAGTTAGCGCTACTCTGACGATTTTATCAGTAAGATAGTTTAGCAACTTAAAAGCTACATGACATTTCTCCAAGCAAGGTAACAACACCGCTGTTTGTGAAGAAAATTAACGCAAAGTTTCACTGTTAACAGAAACGCTGCTGCCAAACACTGTTGAGAGACGCACCGACTCAGATACGTAATTCACACGCTTAATCTCTCTCTCCCTAATAACTTAGTTATTAACTGCATTAGTCTGCTATCAACGGCTCAAGCCTTCGTTACTAGGTCTAAAATGACAATTTGGAATTAGTAACGGATGTGTTGGATGAGATGCGTAAGAAATTAATCCTACTCACAATAGCATTTTAAGTACAAAAACTGGATAAATGCCTTGAAATATAAAATCTGATCGATGTCTTGAGGTGTAGTAACCGTAGTATAAGCAGAATAATTGACTACGGGCCGTTGAATTATTAGAAAATAATGCACACCCGAGGTGTAACTATCCTCTGGTCACCTCCTCGGGTGTGCATTATTTTTCTAATAATTCAATGGCAATAATTGAGTCAATTATTCCTTAAATATTGTCTGGACCTCCACTGGGGACTTTAATGGTATAGAGACATCACTCCATTCCATATATTGGTAACTTGGAATCAAAATATTAGTTAAACTTCTGTCATGCTGTGAAATGCAAACACTGTGGAACTGAATGATAATATAAATAATGGTCATATAAATAAAATGACAAGCTGAATGAAATAAAGAACATTACACTGCATTTTCTGATTCATCTTTACCAGTACCATTCTCTCACTAATGTTTTTAAATCATTGCTTAAACATTAGTACTGTTAATGCTCATCTGATGACATCTGGAAGCTGCTTTCAGCTGTGGTTATCTGACCACTGATCCTAGGTGTTCCTACCTTAATAAATAGTCAAGTCGATTTCATTTACATAATGCACACTCTTAAGTAAGTACATTTTATTTATAAAGCATATTTAAACATAGCAAAGCTATCCAAAGTGCTGAACAAAGGAAAATAAGTTAAATAAAGACAAAGTAAAACCAAATAAAACAAAAGTTTAGAGTTCAAAAAACATATTTAAGATACGTTTTCAACTTTGATTTAAAAATATTTATAGAGGGTGCTAGGTGAATGTCCAGAGGTAGGTGGTTCCACAGACGGGGAGCAGCAACAGTAAAAGCTCTATCTCCCTTCGCTTTTAAACGGGAACAAGGGACAGATAAAAGAGCCCTTTCAGAAGATCTTAAAAGTCTGGTAGATGACAGAGGAGTAAGTCGGTCTTTAAGATAGGATGGAGCTTGATAATTAAGAGTTTTAAAAACAATATTTTAAACTGAATTCTAAAATGGACCTGGAGCCAATGAAGTGAAGCTAAAATTGTGGCGACAGTCATATTTCATTGCCTGGTCAAGAGACTTGCAGCTGCATTTTGTACCATCTGGAGGCGTGCAAGAGATGACTGAGGAAGACTTAAATACAAAGAATTACAATAATCTAAACGTGAGATGATAAAAGCCATAAAGCCTTGAAAAGACAAAAATTAAGTTTAAGTTTGGAAATAATCCACAGTTGATAAAAACTATTCTTAACAACAGAATTAATTTGTTTGGATAAACAAAATTCTGGGTCCAGGATAACACCAAGATTCCTAACCTGGGAGGAAACTGAGGGGAACTGGTGAGACCACTCCTCAATTTTGGGGGACCAAAAACTATTTCTGATTTGTCCTTAAGTTGGAGAAAGTTATTTGATAACCATTTCTTAATGTCCCAGAGACATTCCAACAATGATTGAATGGAATTGCCAGCTTTCAACGGGAGGTACAGCTGTGTATCGTCAGCATATAAATGAAATTAAACACTGTGCTTCCTAATAATATCCCCCAGTGGACGCATATAAATTAAAAAGCAGATGGGCCCAGAATAGAGCCCTGAGGTACTCCACTAATATTAGGAGCAGAAAATAAATAGAACCTAACTCTACAAAAAAAAAAGACTTGTCTTTAAGATATGAGCTGAACCTTCGCAATGCAGTACACCTGATACTGATTAAATGCGCCAAATAAGAACATTATGATCTGTGCCCCTTGGAGTATGGTCCCATGTATGGGATTTAAAATGTTCAGTGATGTCACAACTACCAGATTCAAAATTTCATTGAATTTGTGCCAACACAGAGAGGCGAGCTGGATAAATGGCTGTCATTCATATTGGCACAGCTAGCTACTCAACACAGTGTTTACAGGCACTTGATGTGCTTATTTTACGTCACGTACACTATCACAGAAGCACCAAGACAAAAGTTTAGAGGGCATGTAATCACAATATACAGTAGTCAACATTAGAAGTGGATCAAAACTTTTCATCAAAGTTGTTCTAAAACCAAAATGCGTTCATGTCTTAGGACAACTTTAAACTTTTTTGATCCAAAATGTTCAGTGATGTCACAACTACCAGATTCAAAATTTCAAATCATCCTCTTGTGCCAACACAGAGAGGCGAGCTGGATAAATGGCTGTCATTCATATTGGCACAGCTAGCTACTCAACACAGTGTTTACAGGCACTTGATGTGCTTATTTTACGTCACGTACACTATCACAGAAGCACCAAGACAAAAGTTTAGAGGGCATGTAATCACAATATACAGTAGTCAACATTAGAAGTGGATCAAAACTTTTCATCAAAGTTGTTCTAAAACCAAAATGCGTTCATGTCTTAGGACAACTTTAAACTTTTTTGATCCACTTCAAATGTTGACTACTGTATAAATGACACATGGTCTATATTACTATAGTGTATAAACAAACATGGCTTCCTACTTGACAGTTCAATGACATCACTATGCATTATGAGAGAGTTCGCAGGGATGCTTTTTTTGCGGGAAGATTTGGCGGGGTTTGAGCTGGCCACATTATCTCAGAGTGAAAATGGAAAGAAAACTTGCTTGTGATGATATTTTGGACCTTCTTTTTGACTCAAACACTGAATCCGGCAGCAGCAATGATAGACACCTGTCAGAATGACGAGGACGCTCACCTCCCAGAAAACTGTTCAAATGCGTCAACGATCCCTGCCAGTGAGGGCGCAGTTGTGGAAGACTTCCAACCTGGACGCCCAATCCAATCTCTCCACTAGACCTTGATTTTGACAACACTACCAAAAGTGTTCAAGAGTAGTCTGACAAATCCTTCTGAGGCAGAATGTTTCAGATTATTTATGAGTGAGCAACTTGTGGAGCAAGTGGTGCTAGAGAGCAACAGGTATACTCATCCATCAAAGAAGAAGAGGTTTGGGATCAAGCTCTTCATGCTGTGCGAGGTTCTGACTGGGTACGTCATCAATGTGATAGTGAACACTGGCTCCAGCACAGACATCACACACACTCCAGGACTTGTCTGGCTCAGTAGTGCAGACACTGCTGGAGCCAAATCTGGGGAGAGGGCATACACAGTATGTGGACAACTGGTACACCAGTCCTTCTCTTTTCCATCGCCTGCTGAGAGCCAAAACTGGGGCTTGTGGCACCGTGAGGGCCAACAGAAAGGGCATGACACGCTTCCGAGACAAGATGCCCAGTGGGGAGGCAGACTTTAAAAGTTGCAAAGAAATGCTGGCAGTGAAGAGCCATGACAAACGCGATGTCCACATGCTGACAACGGTCCACTCAGCAGAGATGTCACCCTCTGGAAAGATGGACCACACCACTGGAGATGAAAAAATGAAACCCCAATGCATGCTGGACTACAAGAAGAAAATGGGTGCTGTGGATATGGTGTAATTGTGCACAAGCTGCAACACCTTTATGATTATTTGGCATGAAAAGAAAACATCATGACATGTTTATTATGATTTGAACAGATGTGAGATGTTCTAAACTTAC